CGGGCCTATATTAGAGAATTTACGGTACTTATAGTTCATTTAAAAATATTTACAATATTTGTAGAGAAAAAGCGTTGCATGTTTTGAAGTTTGGTGCACGTTGTATTCTGGTTCTCACATTTTTTACCACAAACATAAAAAAACATTTAAATTCACTTTCAGTGACTACCAAGCAGCAGTGGCAAATCACTGACAGCCTGGCTGGCTGCAGATAGTTTTCATTTGGGACTCTAACTAACATCCTCTGCTGGTGTGCAGGGACAGAATATTTAAGCAGAATCATAATCCTAAAGATCTGGCTGCACAGAGGACATTTTGATGCGTACTTTCTTGTTAAAAAAACTGATAAAGATACTTGTTTTCCAACTCATCAAAGCAAATAAAGACACTGTCAAGATTGCAAGGGAAAGAACAGAGCAGCTCAATGCCCAGAGCATAGAGCATCTGGTTTCAAAATGCAGAAGGCATTAGAAGCATTTTTGATGCTCAAAATGCTTAAGTGTGAACGCTGCATTAGTCTACAATCTTAAACTCGCTTAAACCTTATTTCAGTGATTCCAATAGAGACTGTGAAACAAATTCTTGTTCTACTGTTAAAGTGTGATGGTTTAAAAGCCTAACCCCTCTCCACAAGAATTTTTGAAAATGTCAATGCAGTAAGTGCTGAGAGGCCCTCAGCAGAAGGGCTAATTGTAGGGATCAGTAGTGGGAGTTTAGCTGGGTTTTAGTCAGAACTTGGAAGCAAGCTGAGGCTAGCTTTTCATTATTTTAGCATGGAGAGTAAGTCTGGGGGGAACAATGGTTTGGCCATTGATGGTTCTTGTAAGGTGAAGAATTTTTCCACCCCACTTCCGACTTTGGAGGTTCAGGACGGCTTTGTGGAGCCCAGTGGGCCGAAGCTTTATCAGTTCAAGCTGTTTGCTTCCAGGCGCTGATCCAGAGATGCCTGAAGCCAGTCCTGTCAAAGCAGCATAGGACAGGAAGCCTTGCTATGGGGTCATATGTTCGAGTTATTTGTATTTTTTAATGCAGGTCTATGATGATGAAAGCCTCCACCAGCATGCACCATTTAAAATAATTAGACCCTTCAGGCACTTAAAGCAGCACTTAAATAGTTTCTACACAAAACTATTGTGGAGCTGAAACATATCAGACAAAAAAAAAAAAAAAGCGAAATAAAATATACTATAGATCAAGTGTCTACAGTAAAAAGATTTTTGGGTGAGTTGCATTTCAAATAGAAATTACCATCTGCAGGAAATTAAGAGCATTTATAAGACTTTAATAATTCTTCATATTTTCAAGCTAAAATACGGTATAGATTCTTTACCTTACTCCTAGATTAAGGTCCATATGTGCACATATGTGAGCCTTTTATATTTAATAACTGATCATTAATTGAACTTTATTGCTCTCACATCGGAGAAATTTACCTTGCATTTAATCCATCCCCTTGGGGAGCAGTGGGCTGCCATTGTGGGGCGCCCGTGGAGCAGTGTGGGGTTAAGGGTCTCGCTCAGAGACCCAGAGTGGCAGTCTGTGGGAGTGGAGCTCCTTCTCAGAACATCAGGATTCCAAGCTCTATGCTCTAACCAATAGACTATTTATCTGCACCTATTTATGTAGTGGAGGTGGGATTTGGAAACATCAGTTCATGTTGTGCACCCAGTTATTGTAAAAGTTGTTTTGTTGTGTAATCATTCTGTCCTGGAAAACAAACTATTAAAGTTAAGGATTATAAAGACATTAATTACATAAAATTCAGAAGATGGGTGAATGGTAAACTTCTGACTGGAAACAAAAAATTTAGATTTAAATTCACAAGGTTGTTAAGCAGATATAATATGTAGTGATGATGTCTTTAAGCTGTTTATTTTCAAACATGTTGCAGATCTTTCGGTTTAACTACTCAGACCACAGAGGAAGACAAATGGTAAGTAATCTCGTTCTGTCACATGTTTAAATGACATATTTCTTAATTAATGGTTGTTTATAGGTTTGTTGTTTCGTTTTTATGAAAAAATTGTTCTTAAACTTAAAAAGCCCTGTAGTTCAATGACTTCTGTGACTAAATACTTGGATTTGGCGAAATTATCAGACCTCGGTTAAAAGCAACATGTCTGAAGCAGTAATACTTTAGACCATATGTCTATGATGTTTGTCCCAAGGAGACTTAACATCTCTGACACATTCCTTTGTGTCCTCAAATCTTCACTCTGCGCCTCCCACAGTTAACAAATCAGGCCCTGCAGCAGACTCTTAAAGAGAACATGTAATTAATGCAGTATGTTGATATTAAATAATTCAGAAGTGTGACTGATTAAAACACTCTTGTTTCAAATGCCATATGGTCTCAGCACAGCGCAGATGGGTTGTCTGGAAATTGTATGAGAAGGACTGGGGTGACATATGGCATAAGTCACAATATGGATACATGTGCTTTTCACAATTAAGCATCAACTAATTTTTTTTCACAAGACTCCCAGATTAACTCTTTTTATTTTTTATTAGCACTACGATACAGATTGTTATCTATACATACATGAAGCACCTTGGAGTGAGGGTGAAGGAGCCTCGAAATCTGGAGTCCAAACGGGGTCTGAATCGCCTTTTCCCTAAAATGAAGGTACTACATGTGCGTCCACCATATATAACATTCTTCTCTATCAGCCAAGTGACTATATTTCTTTTTTTTTTCGAGAAGCTGCAGAAAAGTATTAAGACAGATAAAGAAGGTGACGTCAAAAAGAAGTTTTTAAATCTTGTACCTCAACGTCGACCCAGCCGTATTGAATCAGCATCCGGTGAGTGTTTCTTTCAGGGTTATCAAAATTATTTAGATCTGCTAAATGCTAGACAAAGAAGGGAGGGACGTTTTAGAAGTTTGTGTTTTTAATTGTCTGGAAATTTTGAAGTGTGCAAGTGTAAAAAAAAAAAAATGGGAGTCCTTTTTCCTTGCTTTTCTAAGCTTCTAATGTGTAGTAGCAAAGCTCCATTACCCAATTCTGCATTCATTTTTGGCCAAGAATTTGTAAATTTGAAGGGCAAATTGAACCGATAAGCACATTCTTCTTCAAAACATCCCAAATATCTTTAGTCTCTCTTGCTCAATTTGAGCTTGATTAATCCTGTGAATGCCATCTGAAGAAATTCTGTGAGGAACAAAATGCTTGGTAGAATAATCTGGCAACTCCAGATTATAGCATCACCACCAAATACCGGTTTGGTAGGTTCTTGGCATCAAGGATGCTTTCCTAAATGTGTCTCTTCCTACCCTGAAACACCTTTGCACATGATAAATTTAACCACATTACCTTCTCCCATTGCCCTCAGAATTGAATCTTCTTACTCACTAGCAAGCAGAAACCCTTTTTTTCTACTATTCAGGGGTTTTCTTAAGACTACCCAGCTTTTTGGTCCCTTGGACGGCCAGAGTAGCCTGGTTCTGTGTTCCCAGGTAAACCATGTTTTAGTGTTCATTGGAACAAAAACACAAGAACTTGTGACAATGTCTATCAAAGAAAAAGTAGTGTTCTTATCTATGGGGAAAAAGTCCTCTACCACCTTGGTTTAAGGCAACTTAGAAAGGAAAAATCCATCACTATAAAAGAAAAATTAGATTTTTAATTTTCACTCCGTTACAAAGACCTCTGCTTTTAAAACGATGTCCTTCAGTCTGATTAAGCATAGAGGATGTATTTGATGAAAACGAACTGTGTTAGATTTAGAAAGAAAATAGAGATATAAAAGCCAGAAAGCAGCATCCAAACGTGGAATTTGCAGCACATGCTGTGGAGGGTGTTAAGCTGCAGGAGGCAAATGGCAAGACATTAGCCCCACATTTGAACCTTGTTTACAAATAGCTCTTTCAGACGAGCAATGACAAAATCATACCTCTTTCAGACGAACAACGACTATAATCATCTTAATTAGGCCCTATCCACACATTTATGGGGTTAGGTGTGTAGCCGCAAAAATATTTTGTCATTGAAGCTATGTATCCAAATGGAGTCTGCATTTTAGGAGAACATTATCAATATTTTTTGGAACTGGGGCAGAGTGCAAATATGCCATTGTCATGTTTCACTCTATAAAAATGATGCCATACTATAAGACATCGTAGCTCAGTCCATCTCTATAACCTGCATTCGCCTCTTCACCACCATGTCACAGCTTCTGTGCATGCCAATGGGCTCTATGCACAGCTCCACTACTTCCTGAATTTAAGGCAGCTCCTTTGTTTCCTGTCTTTCATTACTGGATGAACTGATTAATCCAGGTGTGTCTGGCCAGTTACTTAGGTCATACACACCTGGATTAATCAGTGCATCCAATCATGAAAGACAGGAAACAAAGGAGCTGCCTTAAATTCCGGAAGTAGTGGAGCTGTGCATAGAGCCTATTGTTTTGGTAAATGGTTTGGGTGTGATTCTGTGTTATAGCGCCACCAAGGGCATGACATATGCACTACATCGTCTTCGTTGATGCTGTGTACCCAGTGCAAAAACAAATAAGTAAAAATGTCTTAAAATTAGTGATTTTGAGTAGATCTGCCAATCAAATTTGTTTATTTACACTTAAATTAAGATAATTGGATATTATGGACTAAAAATAACACAATACAGTTTATTTTTCTTATTTCAAATGTAGATAGTATTATTCCATTAGCAAAGAGTCAAACTTACCTCTTTAATTCAAGACAACATTCACTTATTTCAAGAAAAATTGACTTACTTAGATTTACTGCTTTTGCAGTGGCCCCTGAGTGGATCCAACCTGTTCTAAGTTTTTTTTTTTTTTAAATACACTGTGTTCACCTTTGTGTTGCTTGGCCTAAGTTACATAACGGCTTAAAAATAACAAGCTTAATGCTTTAGAGTGGCTATCACAAAGTGTTGAAATGTATCCCATAGGAAATACACTAGAGGGGTTGTATAATGTGTGATGTTCTGTAGACTTTTCTGATTTCTGTAGACTATTGAGGAAAGTTGTGGAAGGAAGCCAACAGCATTTGAGCCAAATCATTACATTAAAAAGCAGCACAATAATTGTTAGTTATTTATTTAAATTTCAGAAAGAAAAATTTCTCTACTTAAACTTTGATTTAACAAATTGAAATAATTTAACCATCTGGCCTACAACTGGAAATGTGTAATATTATTTAATGATCATAAGAAAAAAAAGAATCTGTGTAGCTTTTAAAAACTATTCATATTTATTTGGTGTTGGCTGTAAAATGGCTAAAAAAGAACACTCTTATTTACATTTTCTTTTTTTTTCACAATCCTAACACAGCAGGTAAAGCCCTAGACAATCGCCCCAAGCCTCAGAAACAGCTCTCCCAGCCGACATTGGGGGCAGTCGATCAAATGGATGGAAGTCGACTGAGGGGCAGCCAGTCCACTGAGGGCCCAGAACTCACTCACTCCCTGTCTGTCTCATCTACAAGTAGCACCACGCACAGTGTTGACACAAGCAGAGATGCTGATAATGGTAAGCTTAACTTATTTATTAGAATAATAAAGGTTCATCGTCTTTTTTTATTAAGAATAAAACATCCTTCACTTTTGAAAAGTCTGAAATATTTAAAACCAGTTTTTAAGACATTTCTATGGCTCTTCCGAAAGGCTTTCGATAATCATTTATTTAAAATATAGCTACTTATTAAGTACCGGTATATAAGCACTAGAGTTTTCCAAAGTATCTATACTCTGACAACTATCAATACTTAAATGCTGTATCTGGATGCAGTACTAATTTGGAATGTTATCAGTCCTAAATACAGATGTTTGTATATTTTTAATATTGTTGCTTTTAGATTTCTGGAATATTTGCACATTATTAGACTAATAACTGAAACAACCTTTAAATGTTGTCAGATTCTGTTGTATTTTTGGTGATTTAATTAGCATTTATATGCACATGTATTTAACTAAAGCATGTTTCATGTTAAGATTGGATGAGTTTTTTATGTTAACATATTTTTGTGCCTTTCGCTACTTAGCATTTCTTATCCCCATGATATTAAACATTATATTGGGTATTGAATATTTTCCAGGGTATTGATATTGAGTGTTAACTTTTAGTATTGTGACAACCCAAAAAGCAGCATTTTCCCTCATATGGAAATGTTTTCATTAAGGTGGCATAAGTCTGGTATAAGGTTAACCGTTTACATTTTCTTTCATAGTTCACTGCTCTGAGGAAATGCTCTAATTGGGCTTACCTGCAGAGCTTAATAGGCTGCTCCAGTCAGATAAATACTGACCAGTACCAACCGCATGTTGTATAAGAAACTTTAATTTATTATCCAACACCAGAGTTGTCAAGTAACAAAGTACAAATACTTTGTTACTGTACTTTAGTACACTTTTTAGGTATCTATACTTTACTCCATTACTTATTTTTCGTCCTACTTCTGACTTCTACTCATTACATTTTCACACAAGTATCTGCACTTTCTTTTCCTTACATTTAAAAAAAAAATGTTATTAGTTAGTCTTGCTTCGGTTTGATGTTTATAAATATTTATTTCATGTCATGTTCGCCATCATCTAGTGAAGTCACATAGATAGATAGATGTACTTTATTTATCCCAAGCTGGGAAATTTCACATCTAGTGAAAACTAGTGTAACTGGATGAGTCATATAAGGCAAACACTCATTGGTTAGCTAAAGGAAATCATTAGAAGCAAGCAGGTGTTCTTCAAACTGCAAACGTGAATCGTCTGTGCCGTGCTACAATGTTGGATTCAGAAAAAGATGTCAAAATGTCTGAAAGGTCAGACACGGGCGAGAGCGTTTCGGAAATGGAGGCGGAGACCAACAGGACCTCCCTCATCTTTGGCCCTATCTCAATGGAATTTTACGAAATAGTCGAAAAATTGAGCTTTCAATTCATATAGTGGCATCTGGCTGTTTTTTTTTTAAAGGTTACTTTATAATTTTATACTTTAAAGGAATAGTACACCCAAAACATGATTAGCCTTCATTTTCTACTCACCCCCATGCTGAACAACACTCTGGAGNCAGATAAATACTGACCAGTACCAACCGCATGTTGTATAAGAAACTTTAATTTATTATCCAACACCAGAGTTGTCAAGTAACAAAGTACAAATACTCTGTTACTGTACTTTAGTACACTTTTTAGGTATCTATACTTAAATCCATTACTTATTTTTCGTCCTACTTCTGACTTCTACTCATTACATTTTCACACAAGTATCTGTACTTTCTTTTCCTTACATTTTTAAAACAAATGTTACTTGTTAGTCTTGCTTCGGTTTAATGTTTATAAATATTTATTTCATGTCATGTTCGCCATCATCTAGTGAAGTCACATCTAGTGAAAACTAGTGTAATTGGATGAGTCATATAACACAAACACTCATTGGTTAGCCAAAGGAAATCATCAGAAGCAAGCAGGTGTTCATCAAACTGCAAACGTGAATTGTCTATGCCATGCTACAATGTTGGATTCAGAAAAAGATGTCAAAATGTCTGAAAGGTCGGACACAGGCGAGAGCGTTTCGGAAATGGAGGCGGAGACCAACAGGACCTCCCTCATCTTTGGCCCTATCTCAAAGGAATTTTACGAAATAGTCGAAAAAATTTAGCTTTCAATTCATATAGTGGCATCTGGCTGTTTTTTTTAAAGGTTACTTTATAATTTTATACTTTAAGTAGTTTTTGGAGCACATACTTTTTCACCTTTACTTGAGTAAAAAGGTCAAGTTGATACTTCAACTTTTACCAGATTGTTTTTAAACTGCTTTATCTATACTGCTACTTATGTAACAAATGTGTATTTTTGACACCACTGTCCAACACTAATAAATATTTTTATTACTCACAATAAAGCTACATTTTACAATCTTCAGAAGAAAGACACTATCATGATTTGAAAACCACATAATGAATTAGTTATAAAAAATAATCAAAAACTTGAATGTGAGTAATATATGGTGCTTCTTTAAGTATCTTAGATTTGTTTAGTCTCGATGAACATCACAAACATAATTGTGATGTGAGACAAAGATATAAGGTTTTCTATAGTTCATGAATTGACCAGCATGAACTGCCACAGATTTTTCTTTAGATTTAGGTCTTGACTTTATCAGTGCCATTCCATTGTTTTGATTTGTATTTAACTCCATCCACTTCTTGTCAAGTCTCACTAGCTTATTTCCTGAAGATTTATCCTCTGGTTTATCCTCTGGTTGAGCTATCGGCCTGATCTCTATGAGATGCTCAAAACATTGATTTAGCTGTATCAGTTTATCAAAAAAAAAAATGTCTTCATCCACTTCATTGTTAATCATTACATTGTATCGGTCCTCTTCTTGCATCCCTCTATTAGACTTTAGGAAATAATATGAAAGACTTTTAGAGGTGTGAACATTTTCTTCTACCTTTAAAAAAGTGTTCTGCTGGATTAACACTAGACTGTTTATTCAACACATTTTAACGTGTTTATACAGCTGTTTTCTGGTGATTTAACAGGATTAGCTTAAAGGTGTAGTAGAGATTGCAATGTAAAACAAAATAATACATTTAAGCTTTATATCTATCTTACAACCTTCTGGTGCCCCTCTGCTCTCTGTCTTTTATAAAATATAAATAAGTTGTCCTATTCTAATGAAAACAAATCAAATGCTGGCATATTAACAATTCTACTAAAATACTTAAAACCCTTTGACAGCAGTTAATGATAGTAATTTGAGTTCATGTTAGCCACCAGTCTTTCTTCTTTGTAGTCCTTGGGAGCAGTTTGACTCCGGCCCTCCACGCATCTCTTCTAAAGTCTCTCCTTTGATACACACAGGCTCTATCCCACCTAATGTTTTAACCCAGTGCTTCTGTCTTTCTTTTTTGTGGATCCACTGTGGGTTTGAAAAATAATTCTTAATTGACATCAATGAACGCAGGGAGGCTTTGTCCCTAGCGGGATATTTTCACCTACCGATTCAATAGTTTGAATATAAATTTTGTCGAAGTTAGAGTACAGAGTGCAATAAAAAATGAAGTCTCATTTATAATATCAGTGTTTGTTTCATAGCATGTATGGTTTTTAAAAGCAAATTAAATGTACTTAGATGGGTGGACCTGCATGACTAGAACAGATTTCAAGTTTACTGTTTCAATTACTTATGTTTAGAGGACAGTTGAAAGAAATTTAAGTGGCAAAGTTATATAGCATCATTTTCAGCAAGCAATTGTTCAACTGCTAAAGCCATTACACGTAACTGTTTATGTTGAGTCAGTCCAAACATTATGGAACACTGTTATGGAGTTTGCTGACAGAGAGTGCTCCTGTATGTAGCTGGAGGAATGTACATCTCTGGTTATGTGTCCCTGTTTGTGATTAATTAAAATTAGTTAAACACTTTAAATGAAATAATGTTACTACTGTGTAATGAGCCTCATAACTCCAGGAGTTTATGCCTGTGAGAAAGAGCTTTAGGTAATCTCAGTTGTATGTTGTTCCTTTTACAGGGAAGTCAATGCTGAATGTAATTGACAGAATTAATATTTTCACCGAGGTTAGCTGAAAAGTAAGAAATGGGTTCGTATGAAAATTTGGTTAAATAATGTCATCATCAGTGATTGTTTTTTTATGTTTAATGTTTTTTAAACAGTGTCAGCAACCTTTTTGTTGTTTAAGTTACCTTTCCATGTGAGCGCCTTAAAAAGTCCAAGTTAAGGAAAAGCTAATTTGTTTAATAGATTTCAGAAAGTGGTTTTAGTATGGGCTCCATCATTTTGCTGGTTTATTAATGAGATTAAATGTGTGTTTTAGGTGGGACTCCAACATCAGCCCCCTCCCGGTTGAGTGATGGCCTACAGCCGGATCCTCTGGATCGATTAGCATATTCTGCTTTACACATGGAGCCTTATAGCTTGGAGCAGTTACAAGAGGATGACAGAGAAAATGATAGGTATGTTAACATGTGTAAGAATTAAGAAAGAATTATATATGTTTGTTTTTTTTGTCACTGATTTATTTAATTACTTGTTCCTTAGAGCTCATGACGGAACACCAAAGGCAGTTAGAAGGTGAGTGTAGCAGATCTGTATGACTTTTGTGCCTTGAATTAATCTGAAAATTAAAGAGAGAAATAAAAATATACCGCTTTCTTCTAGGCTTGAGGGTTTGGGTGTGGGTGATGTCCAGAGTGAGGATGATCAGGGTACCGACTCAGAACTTGATCCCCCCAACTGGCAGCAGCTGGTGGGAAGAGAGATCCTTGCAGGGCTCCAGCCTCAAGAGATTAAGAGACAGGAAGTTATAAATGGTGGGTACATTAAGTTCTTTTACAGAAGTATTTATATCATGTGGCCCTGTTCATATTTGGTTAACAAACTTTGATGCATTTTATTTGGTTTTCATTTATTACACTAAGGCGTCCCAAACCTGCCGCTCTAAAACCACCTTCCTCTATGGCCGTTACATAAACAATGAGTTTATTCTATTATTAAGGCAATAATGGAGGGATATTCAGAAATTCTCAACAGAGGGGTACCATTTTCTTTTAAAATGTCATTACATACATTTTTATTCTCTAATAAATATTATATAATGGGGATGGTTTATATCCATCTCCCCAACTTGGCCGTCAAATGGAGTTCAACCTTGTGGAGGAAAGAGTCACATTCCCTGCACTTTCAGGAAGAGGGGAATCCCCTCTTGGGGTTTTTAAGCATTTTGCTGGGGGACTTCAACATCCATATCGGAAATTACAGTGACACTCAAAGGGGTGAGATAATGAGGAACAGACCCCCAGCTCTTAACCTATGTTGCGTTTTATCATTGGTTCTCTGTGAAAGTCATGGATTTTCTATAATAAACAGCATGTTCAGGCATAAGAATGTCCATTGAAGCACTTTGCACCAGGGCACCCTAGGCCAGAGGTTGATGAATGACTTTATAGTTGTATCTTCTGACCTTTGCTGTGTGTCTTGGACATTTGGGGGAAAAGGGGCGGAGCTGTTCTCCAATACAATCTAGCGGTGAGTTGGATAGGCTGAAAGAGGAGGAAGCTGGACAGAATCGGCAAATCCAAGCAAATAGCTAGGGTCTGCTGGGTAAATCTGGTGAGGGACCTATTCACCTACCAACTCCAGGATAGCTTCCCTTAGGAAAGGCTTGGGACATTCGAGTGGACCATCTTCTCTGCCTCAATTGTCGATTCGACTGCCTATAGCTGTGGTCATTTGGGCTGCAGTGCCTGTTGCTTGTGGAACTCCTGAGGCAGCAAGCATGTGTCGTGAAGCCAAGCATGCCACTGCTGAGAACTTCAGCCTTAAAGCAATTCTGGCAAAGGGGAAGTAGAGCTTCCCTAACACTTTTAGTGGAAGCAGAAGCTGCTGACCTTGACTGAGGACATTGTTGGACTGTAGAGGGAATACTTTGAGGATTTCCTCAGTGCAGTTGACATGCCTTACCTGGCAGAGGCAGAGACTGGGTGCTTGGAGTAGGACTCACCCGGGCTGAGGTCACCGAGGTGGCCAGAAAACTCCATGGCAGAAAGGCTTTGGGGTTGAATGAGATCCGCCTTGACTACCCCAGGTCTCTGGATGTTTTTGGGCTGTTTTGACTGACATGCACTATCACCATTGCATGATGGTCGGGGTCCTGGGAGGAGAGTCTGCTTGATTGTAGAACATCTGCCTCAGGAGGAGCAGAGTGGTTTTCATCTGGCCGTGCAACTCTGGACTAGCTCTACACTTTCTGCTAGGTGCCCGAAGGTTCATCGGAGTTTGCCCAACCAGTCAACTTGCATTTTGCGGACCTGCAAAAAGGAATTTGATCGTTTCCCTCATGGTGCCCTATGGGGCGTTCCAAGTTTACACACCACCTCTGTACGGATCAGGAACCTGGCTGGCATTGCCAACATTAAGTCGGACCTGTTGCCATTGTTCCTTGGACTTATGCATTATCTGATTTATAATTTATCTTCCACCTAACACTTTTCTAAGTTTGTGTTAGCATTGCAACAAAATGTAAGCTCAAGAGGTATAAATACTTTTGGGAGTCATTTTAAGACATTGAATATGAAAATGGTGCACATTTACTCCTAATTACCCACCAAAGCATTACGTTGAAGTGTCTATGCCATCATCCGCCTAACTCCTGTCTTTCTCTCCACAGAGTTGTTTTACACAGAGCGTGCACATGTACGGATGCTGAGAGTTTTGGACCATGTTTTCTACCAGAAGCTTTCCAAAGATGCAATCCTTCCTCCTGCTGACATCAAGAACATCTTCACTAACCTGGAAGAGGTTTTACAGCTGCATGGTACGCTCTAAAATAGAAACACCTGCTGTATTATCACTTTGATTTATAAAGAATCCCACTTAGCTGATTGTCTTTGAATTTCAGTTTCAATATTTGAGCGAATGATGGCAGTTCGAAAGAGAAATGAGTCTTCAGTAATTGATCTGAAAGGCGATGACTTGCTCTCATGGGTGAGTACAGAAATTAAGTTAGAACTATGTTGTCTTTATTCATCCTCATTGAAATTCTTGTTTATACCATGTAAAAATTCACTTTATATATTTGAAAGTTTTTAGGTGTTGTTATGGCATTTTTTTAACCTTTAGTATCTGTTATGACACATTTGATTTAGGTCATATCAAGACAGAGCAATGTATACAAAAAGGTTCTCGTTAGGTTAGAGGTACCAATACGATGACACAGCTGCAATATCCACTACATATGGACCATCTAGACACTGGAGTATTTGCATATGCAAGCCAACTCTGCCTGTTTTTTTTATGCTGTTTATATGCTATGCCTTAGGTTGCCTTAGGTTTGGATTTTGACTCTGTCTTGACTTAAGTGCGTTTCACTGTAGAACAGACCGTTGTTGCTCTGGTTGTAACTTTAGGGTAGTTGTCCTGTTGGAAGAACAATGTTATCTCAGGGTCACAGGCCTCCTGTCCCTGCTAAAGAAATACATCCTCCAATCATGATACTTCCACCACCAGATGCATGACTAATGTTGGCCCTTAGAAAAACATGAGCTGTTGATCTCCACAGATCTTCCATGGCCTGCCTCTTGGCTAAGTCTCTGATTTACATATAAAGAGAAAAGTGGGGTAAATATAGATGCAACCCAGATTTACAACATAGAAACCCTTCAGCTTTGCAAATATCTTCTGCTTTGTGTTGTTCTGTCATAGTAAAGTGCATTAAGGGACTGTGAAAAAAAATTCTCTCAAACAACTCCAACAGAAACAAACCCATAAGTCAAAAGGAACTGCCTCATTTCACAGTAAATGGGCATGTCAGAAGATGCCCTAGATTTGGCTGACATCTACACAGCTCAGTATCATGCTCAGACAAATTTGATGTGAGGTAACCAAATATCCAATGGCAGGCTTGTTTGAATCCTCTCTCTGGGGAGATAAGGAAGCTAAATGGTCCCCCAAGGTCTGAGCATTGATCTAGTCCACATTAGAACTTAAGCTGTCTGTGCAAAGAGGGCATAAAAGCCATGCTTTGGAGTCAGCTACTCATGGAAGAGATTTCCAGTACAAATCGTTCTGACCACCAGTCTCCATCTCTGCTCTCCTGTGTTGGATTATGGTGTTAACAGTTTAGCGGTGCCGAGGAGGAGAAGATCAAGCAGGCAGTGGGGACGTTTTGCAGTAACCAGCCGTTTGCACTGGAGATCATCAAGACCAAGCAGAAGAAAGACTCAAGGTTCACCTCATTCATTCAGGTACGTGTGATATTTCCCATCATAACGTTACTATGGAATACATTTAACTGGGTAGGGATCCCTGACTTTTAGTATTTTTGTTTTTAGGAGGCTGAGAGTAACAGACAGTGTCGCCGACTGCAGCTAAAGGACATCATTCCTGTAGAAATGTTGCGGCTCACCAAGTACCCCCTGCTGCTAGACAACATAGTCAAGTACACAGGTGGAGTACTGCTGACCAACGAGCCAGAGCTTTTTTACCCATAGAAGGTTTTTTTTCCAAGTCCTGTGTGTTTGTGAGGCAGTTTTCCTCACTCAGGTTGTTATAATGAGTTGGTTTACCAGATTACAGCTGTTTTATTTCTTTGATAAGTTTGACTTCAATATTTTATATCAAGTCAACACAACACACACAAATCACTAGACTTAAGTCCAGAAACTTTCTAGAAAGAAACATCAACTAATGCTATTCTTTGTGTTCTTTTCTATTTCTCATAAAGCAGTTTTTTGTGTTTGGTTTCAAATTAAGCTGAAGGTTTTGATAACAAAATTGGGGGATTATGTAAAATATATATAAATTGGCACAAGAAAAAGGTGTTATTTGAGATCTGCTAAGAATTTCCAAGATTAAAAATCACACTAAATGTTACTTAAGATAATAAATCCAGAGAAATCCAATTAATACTGATAGAAGTAAACATCTGAAATTATTTATGACTGATCCCGATTTTAATAAATCACCAAGCAGGGTTTAATATTTAAAGTTTGACCACTCCTGAATGTGTTTATTGTACTTTCTCTTTGCATATAAGTTTATTTAAATGTCCTATTTTATGTCTCATCCTATTTGAATTAGTAAGGTTTTTTCCGGAATAAATCACAAAAATAAGCACAAAAGAAATTAGTGTTTAAAACACCATTAATATTGAGAACCAGCTCTAGACCTTCAGAGGATCAGCAATAGATAATACTGTGTGCTGCAACATACTGACTATTAATGAATTACTGAGACTAATGGGAAGATTATTATTATAATGGTTCTGGAGAGTGAGTTCACATTTCCGGAAATGTGGCACTCATTATTTAAGCTGTCCTCTATTCTTAACAGGAGCTCGGGTCTCACACCAGGAGAAAGCCTTAATGATAACGGATGACCAGCTCTTACAGGAGCATAATGCCTCCCATGCTTTATCATAATTTTTAAGAATTATAGGGCGTTAATGGACACAGGAAGTATCAATTTGTCCGACAGCTCCCCCAGGAACCAGAATCCTCACTCCTTGATGTCTTAATATTTTTCAGATGATCCAGTGGAGAAGCATAAAGTTAAGCAGGCAGCTGATTGCTGTAGAAAGATCCTCAGTCACGTCAACCAGGCTTTAAAAGAGTCTGAGGACAAACAGGTGGGTTGTTTAGTTGTTATTATCATGTTAGGTGTCCTTGAAGCCTTTTAGATTCTGCAGCAGAAGCAGCATCCGTCTTAGAAATAATATTTTCTCTATTTTTGTTTCTTTCTCTTATTTTATCCTGTTTTTGTTTGTTTTTTTCCTATAGAGATTAGAGGACTATCAGAGGAGATTGGACCTCTCCTCTCTAAAGCAGACAGATAACCCTATGATCCTTGAGCTAAAGGTGAGCATTCGCTTCACTTTATATGCATTTGTTTGCTGTCCACCTACATGTGCTCTCTAGAACATTTGCACTGTAAAGTACTCAGAACTCATTCCTAAGATCTCTTTCTTTTTCCTGCTTTTCATCCATCAGAACCTGGATTTGACCAAGAAGACGCTGATTCACGAGGGCTCTCTAACATGGAAAATGAATAAGGACAAGACTATTGGTCTGCTCTGATTGCTTTCTTGAGATATAAATATTAATGTATCCCTCATAGATCACATCTTCTGTTCACCATTGCTTGTGTTTGAAAGTGATCCTTTCTTTCACTTTTAGAGCTGTACACGCTCCTCCTGGAGGATATTCTTGTTCTGCTACAGAAACAAGATGAGCGTCTGATCCTCAAGTGCCACAGCAAAATCCTGGCGGGCACCTCAGATACAAAACAAATCTTCAGCCCCATCATTAAGCTCAACACTGTTCTGGTGCGCTCTGTGGCCACAGGTCAGTGTACAATTTCTGCTACTGAAACCTGAAGGTGATTTAGCATTGGACCCTGTCTTTAGAGATCATCATCTACTGGCTTTGGCTTATGTCGGTTGAACATTTTCATAATAATGTATGTTATTGGGACTATTTTTGAGTATTTTTGCTTGATTGAAGTATGTATGAATATATATATATATATATATATATATTTTTTTTTTAATGCCAGATTTGCTCATCTAGAATCTGAAGATTTTTTACCACTCTTTCCTTTGAAGAATTGCTTCACCTCAGTGAGTTTATGTAGAGAACATCTAAGATCATTTTCCAAATCTTGCCACAGAATGACTTGTCCATCTCTAACGGATAAATATGCTTTAATGGTAATCATTTCATTATACCATCGCTGTAAGTTTATGGTTGTTGTCCATCTGGACGGTAAAGCTCAACCGCAGAATAAAGGCTACTGTAGCCTTAAACTAATTTGCAAATCACCACTGAATAGTTTGATGCTTCCATTCAACGATGCTGCCACCACCATCTTTCCCAGTTCAGATAGTTGCACCATTTACCCTAGCCCTCTGAAACTGATCTGTGCCGAGTTCGGATCAAGCTTGGATCGGTTAGCCGTGCTGTACTTGGTCCTTACGACCATTCACGCTAGCACGGTTCCTCGCCTCCTATCGGCGGTCCACTATACTACAACTCTAAAGGCGGGAATTAAGCAAACAAAACTGGCGGTGCCCATAACATTTAGGAACTCATGTGCCTGACAGTGTCCTCCCCCGAAATTTCAATGATAGCCTCGGTCTTGGCATCATCCCATGCCGCACCACACTCTTTTGATGCCATTTATTGTTAATAGGCTGAGAAGAGGTTTGCGTTGTGAACAGGTGAAGAGAGCTGTGAGTTGCAAAGCTGGACATGCCAGAAAACCCGCAAATGATTCAGCTGATTGTAAATGGGGGATGACGGTCTGCTCATGCACTCTTTGTTATCAGAGAATGGAGCCACAACTGAATCGTGCCGAGCCCGATTGTGAGCCCTACTGTTGAACTACTAGATTTAGAGTTGTTCAGTTGTGTTTGCCATGGTTCAATTCAATTGCGTTCCATTTACATTCATCAGTTATCTTGGTTACCGTGCTCGGCCTGTTGTTGGCATGGTTTCAAAAGGCTAGTGTAAATGGGGCTAGTCTTAGTGTTGGTATAGTATGTTGCCTTTAGGCCAGGATATGTTCATGTCTGCCTGGTTCCTCGTGCCCTTACAAGGGAGCGGTCTGCATCTATTTATTTTTACGTTTAAATTCATGTTACAAACAAGGTAATTTTATTTACTAATTCAAGTTTTCGGGTAACTTTAAAAAGAAGTTTGATTTTATTTAATTGGAGGTAATGGGGCTAATTGTAAAAGCATATTTTAAAGCAATCCTGTTGCAATATATTGAGGCTTGTGGTTGCAAAAAATTATTTACTTAAGGTTCTTAGGTATGTACATTAACCTCTTAAAACCCACCTGGTCACCGGCATAAAAAGCATACAATTCCACCGGTAAAATTTTTACCAGCAGGTGGAGCCATTGCACGCAGCTGCAAGCTGACACCAAAAGTTCCATACCCCACAGCTCTGGAACTGTTATAGCTAGAGGTCTGAAATTGTCTGCATTGGTGGTTGACATGATGTAGAACAAATTTAATACAATAAAACCTGCATTTTCTCAAGAATGTCTTTATTACTGCTGTTCAAAAAATACCTATAATTTCCGAGAATAAAAAAACAACAACTTTGAGTCGAACTAATGCAGGTTGGTCTGTGTTCTAGTTACCCAATTTTAATTTATAAATAAGGGAAACTAGAGGGTGCTGGCTTTCAAATAATGTATTGCACATGTTATTTGGGCTTACATTTGCTAAGTTATTTGCTTTTCCATTTGGGTATGCTAAATAGGTGAGGATACCCAAAATGAGGTGGATGTTAAGAGGTTTAAACCCTCTCCTTAAAGTCTTTCTCTTTCCTGGCAGACAACAAGTCCTTCTTCGTTCTCTCCATGTCTGACAACGGCGCACAAATCTACGAGTTAATGGCGCCCACGGTCTCAGATCAAAAAACGTGAGAACATTTTCCTTCTTGTTGATCAAGTTGACTTTTTTGCACCAGTTGTTTATCGAACTAAAGCTGTTTGTTTTTTCTTCTTCTACACAAGATGGCAAGCTCTGATCTCACAAAGAGCGGATCATATGAAAGTCAAACCTCACAGCATCATACCGTTACCTCAGACTGAGTAGGCTTCATTGCTCTATAATATAGTCATGGCTCAAGGTTTCAGCTTGTCTCTAAGTTACTTTTCTATGCTTTTGTTAGTGGAGAGAGAGACGGAGTGGAGATCATTACAGCAGGCGTTTCCAGACTGAGCAGAGAACGAGACCGCACATCCACCGGCAGCACGCAGTCCACAGGTAACTCAACCCGCTTGGCTCTAGTGCAACTCCAGATGTGTGGATTTCCCCCGATAACTGGATTCCTTCATTTTTAGACATAGAGAGCAGCCCAGCTTCTAGAAGTGCACTGCAGAGTACCCTGCCTGGTGGTAACCCATTTGAGGAATTGAGGGCAGATGGGGAGGAAGAGGAAGAAGAAGGTTTTTTGGAACCAGAGATCCCTTTTCAAGTATCTGAAGCTGACAGAGAAGGAGACTCATTTGACGTGTTTCCCTCAAGGGCTGACGAAGCACTAAAAACACGTAAGTGTATCGAATTCATTGTGTACAAGCACATAACTATAAAGATTGAGTTATTAATTATTCCCTGTTTCCTCAGTGGCTGCATTAAAACAAGTCCTGGTGAACCAGTTGATGTCCCAGGAAGCTGCACAGCAAACCAAACGTTCCACAGGAGTCCGTCTCCTCAGGACCACCTCTTTGAGGACCCCGACAGATAACCGCACAAAGGTGATGGTTCACAACGGCTCTGAAAACAGCAGCTCTAAAGCAGAAGACCTGGCTCAGGACCTGGGATCAGGAGACACTGGATTCTTTGATTCTCCTGAAGATGATGGTACGGGCAGGAAATTGGAGCAACATTTGAAGTGTGCCGGAAAGATCTTTCTAATCCCTTCTTTTGATTCCGCCTGCAGCATGTTTAGTCCTGGAGGGTTACGGCGGCCAAGGGGAGAGCAACACAGATGACGACATGCTGGGATCAACCCCAGGGAAACAGCTGAGAACCTCCCAAGGCTGTGCTGCCGACTCTGGCATCAATTTGAGATTTTCTTCCACATCACAGTTCGGCAGTCTCTCCACTTTCAGCAGACAGGTGTTGTCTCACCTTAGAAATCTTCAGACCAACCTCAGCTATTTAAAGGTACTTAATAATACACCTCATTACATTATCTCCAAATCCTTAACTTATCATTTTAATCCGGGCTCTTTCAAAGATTAAAAAATCTATCCTTTGGGTCTGCCTAATAAATGTGAGCGTTTGTTTATGTGGGTATTAAAAAGTACCCCAGTAAAAAAAAGTATTTCTATAATCTTATCTTTCCACCCATTTTTGTTTCCCACTAATCTGCCTAACAATTTAATTCATCCATTGATGAAGATAGCCCTCCTTTCCTTTATTCATTTATCAGTCAATCATTCATTTATTAATTATTCAGTCTTTTTCGACCTCAGAAATTAGCTGATAACTATAGGAAGGCTGTTTTAACAGCAGGCTTAAAGACGAACACAAACATTGACTGACATAGCAATCTTTCCCCCTCTTACAGGAGGTCGAGACCAAGTACAATAATCTAATACACCAAAGGACAGAGAGATCAGACACAGATGGAAACAAAGGTATTTGCATTTATCTGTAAATCCTTCACTTCTATTCATTATTTTGTTTTTCCATTTTCTTAATTTTGTTTTATGTTTTTTTTATCTTTTTTTAATCAGATAAAAGATAGTGTGGACGTGAGCGGCGCAGCGTTTGGCTCTGGTCCCATGGAAGAAATACCGGCTCGCCGTCTGTTCTCTCCTCCAGTCCTGGACTTTCTGGACGTCCTATAAGCTTGTCCTTCGACTGCTGAGCTCTTGTTGTTTTGTTTTTTTCCCATCACCCACAGTCCCTACGGGGAATGATAGACTTAAATGTGGAGCGAACGTTTTCGAAGGGAGAATTCATCTGTGCGGTGCCATGCCATTCCTTTCTCAGCACAAGGCAATCAGGGAAGTGGGATTGCCCTACCCCCCCTAAAAAAAGAAAAAACCTCAACCCCCTTCTATCGTTGAACACCCATCTTTCCCCTCTAAACTCCCGGCAAGAGAGAACTTATACCAAAATGTACAAAGATGTGTGTTTAGAATATATATATATGAAACGCAAACAAGAAAAGGAAAATTTTAAGATAATGTATTAAGATTTTTTTTTTTATTCCCAAGATGTATTTATTTTTTTTTTGTTGTTCTTTTATTTTTCTTTTTTAAGTGTTTCAGATTGTGTGCATGCTTTTGACCATGGTGTTACCGTTTCAGCTGCTTCTCCTGCTTTGGTTACACATGGTTGGCGTGAGTGCACGCTCGCATACCAGCACTCTAGTGTATCTGGATGAGTGGCAGCACTATATTCAGACTGATAGAGGCCAGAGTTGCACTAGTGATGGATAAATCCAGTGTATTAAAACTCATGAACATTGTTAAAAACTTAATATTTAATAGAAATTCTGGTTTGATGTTAACTAGAATGAAGAGTCTGTAGGCTCTGATCTGGTCCTTTTGCATTTCTGTACTGACTTCTTTCTCGTTCCCCTCATCCTTTTCTCTTTTTTTGCATATTACTCCATCCCCCCACCCCTGTAAACTTCTTTGGGTGTCATTACTTTCTTCTTCCAGTGGCTTTCCTGCTTATTTCTCCCTTACTACAATCTATATGTCATGCTTCCTGTTGTGCCTCTGAATATCTCGCCCTGCTACCCTCTCTTACAAGGAGCAGTCATGCCCTCTTTGTATCAGCTCCTGATAGAAATGCTGCTTTCTCTCTGCTTCTGTTGGAGATACTGATCTGACTGCCCTAAATTCTAATAATGTCATGAAGTTCAACATATAGCGTACAATGATCAAGTTGGAAGGTTATGCATAACTTTACAAAATAAAGTAAAAAATGCCATGAAACGATGACAAAAATTGTCTAAATATTTATTTTTTCATCAGAACTGCCTTATATTGGTGTGATAATGTAGTAATATGTGGTTTTATTTTTCACATTTTGTCACATTAGTTACAAATGGTGTTGAATTTTATTGGGATATGTGTTACTAACCAGCAGAGTATTATATAATGGCAGAGTGGAAGACAAAGCGTTGATTCTTTAATTTTAATTGTAGCTTCAACACTTCTGGTTTGTCTCTACCAGCTTTCTGCATCTTTAAATAGTATTTGGGATAATTTTTCATGTCTTGCCACATATCTTTAAGTCCATAAAGGTGTGGATTTGAAAAGGCTGCTCTAATATTTTGAAAACCCTATATATATCTCTGTTTAGTGATAATTTTCCTGTTTTCACTGAAAGCCGATGCCACATTATCAAGTCTTTTTAATGGTCAGAATCCTGCTATATGTATAACTACCTTCCCATCAGCTCCCATTGACCAATTACTGCTAAAGAAAAGTGGACCCGCAGCATTAAGCTGCAACTACCATGCTTTATAGTACAATTTGCGGAACTATTTTTATGTTAATGGTATCGTTTTTTATTAAGTCCACTAGTCTTGTCTTATTAAGTCATCTTTCACATTTTCTGCATCTCCTACAATGCTCCTACTATGTTTTTTCTTACATAGCCCAGGTTTAAACTTAAATTATTTATATACAAATCAGACAACTTCTTATTCTTTATTATAAATTCATAAGAGAAGCTGCTTCAAACTAATTACTCTCTTTTTCCAGATTTGTTTCACAAAGAGGCCGATCAAAATGTATAAAAGTTTATGTTCAAATCATTTAAAGCTACAAGGGATCTGAATACTTTTCAGCCACTAAATTGATTTCATATTTCAAGTACATGTTTCACTCATTGTTACTGATAGATTTTATTTGTTGGATTATTTTAGAATGACACCTTTACTAATGGGAAAATAATCAATCGTGAGAAAGTAATTATGATGTACTGGGTAGCTGTCTTTATAAAGACACCACTGTCAAACATTTTTGAATTATATGCAAAGTTATCAGGAAACATTCAGATAAGCTATTCAAATTTAAATTACAGAGACAAGCTATAATTACTGCGGGCTGCTTTGTCTGGTTTGTCAGGTTGATGATATAGTTTCCCTCGCTCACATGGGGTTTGACACTAGTGTAAAACATATGGTTACAAGTTATAACGTATCAGTACGTGTTTTATCTGCTGTGTTTCTGTATATTATGTATGAGATAACGCAGATAAGTCATATTATATGTAAATTTCTTCATGTCGACTTCTTCATATAACAGTCACGTGGCCAAATATCTATAGTGATATCAGATTAGATTTCCTTATTGTCTGTACTTTTTCCAGTAGTAATTGGGTGAGAGATGCGGTGCACCCTCAACCTATCATCTGTCCATCAGAGGGGGAACAGAAACTCATTCAAACAGCCGTTAACAGCGATGTTTTTGGGCTGTGAGAACTGGAGCCCAGCATGCACAGGGGGAACATGTTGAGTGGTTTAAAACGGAGACCTGCTTGCTGCTATGCAACAGTCCTACCATTCAGTTATTTATGCTCAAATGAGCATATTTAGCTCAACGATTTCTTTTTAATTGTTTAGCCACTTTGTTAGAGCTGGAAACGAGCTCATCTATATCTGTTCAGCAGGAAAGGTAGTAAATTAAAAAGCATTATCTCTACACTCAGTAAGAGGGAAGCCACATTAGTTGTTCTCCTATGAGGAATGTTAAATCCAATATTCTCGGTAATTTTAAACTGATGTCTCTAACTGCAGAAATTTAGTTTCTTCTCTGCTGTGTGCTTAGCAGATGATTAATGGTTTAGTTTTTAAACCAGCTTGGACTATAGGGAGTTAATAATTATCCCTGCATTCCCATAGCTTCATCTGACACCATGTTTTACCGTATCACCCTTAAATGTCCACTAGTTTATAACACACTGGTATAGCACGCTCTTTCCTCTATCCTGTGCACATCTATAAATCTCCACTTCAAAATTCTGTTTTCTTATAACAAAATTTCCCTTTATTTGAAGTTTTTTTTCTTTTAAATCTATAGATAGATCAATTTAAATATAGTAAGGCAAGGCAAATTTATTTGTATAGCACAATTCAGTACAAAGACAATGCAAAGTGCTTTACATGATTAAAATAAAAGAAAAGAATAAAAAAAAAATGCAGAAACAAAAAATAATATTAAAAACAGTTGGACTTGGTAGTTGATCTTATCTGGGTTGTCTTCTCACAGTCAAATTATACTTTGGAAAACAAAATGTAAGGATCTGGCAAGTAAGTATTTTGATCCATTTATTACACCCAGTGGATTGGAAAAAAAACAAACCAAAAAAAATGGTTAAGTTTTTAATAATTGAGGTATTCTGGGTCAATTTTTATGGTACAGTTAGATTTTTCTGCTAACTAGCTACCTGATAGATGCAAACTGTATATTTTAAATTTGTCTTTTTCACATCTCCCTCCTTTAACACAGGAGTGTCGCCCTAGCCTAGCTGGTCATTAGCAGGCTCCTGCAAAGTTTTTGACAGCTGAGCAAACATGATGAAAATGTAAAAGATGAAGGACACTGGACCTTTAAGAGTCACTGCTGGTTTTCTTTGCTCTCAGTCCATCTTAATTTCTGTGTGTTGATTGGGTTAAATTATTCCACAAAGAAGGGAAACATGTCCAGTTATGGAACAAGGAAAGAACATGGCCTTTCTAAATAAAGCATATAGGTTTTGTTTTTTTAATAATTCACTTAATTTTGCCTTAAATTTTTGTATTTTTCCTGTGTTGTTTGGTTTGTGCGGTTTTGTCCCCTTAGTTTAGATTCAATAGTGCCAGAACTTTGATTGTTAAAACTGCTGCAGAGAGCATTCTTTGTTTTTACCATCTCTTTGTTGCCCTGCTTCATCACACCTGAATCTAATAAATGTTCCATTAGCATAGCTGCAGAACTTGATATGCTGTTTCATTCAGGTGTGTTTGAGCAGAGAAACAGCAGTTGTATCAAGCTTACTCCCCTGGAGTCAATTCTGAGGTAAGAACATTTCCCTCACATGTAATATTAGTAGGCATTTTAACAATACTACAATTCTTCACACATAGCAGCCACCATCATATTTTCCTCAGTAAGAACCTGTTGTTTTTTTTATATATTCTCACATGACTTATTTTATTATATGCCATTTTAAAATATCCTAGGTATGTATTAGACTTTATATTCCAAAGCTGATATATCTGAGTTTGACTGTTCCTACAATCTCGATTGAGCAGTCAAATCATCTTACTTGAGATTGAATTTTACAGTTATTACATTTCGGTGTAAGGCAAATAGAAGATGGTATATATTTTCTATTCACTGCAGACTTGACTTCAGCTCTTCAGAGGCATATAGGGTAATTGAAGTAGGTATGGCATATCATTTGAACAGAATGACTTTTTCTGGACTCCATCTGTTTTTTTCCACGTTCTGTACTGGTTCACTTCAGTATATTGGAGCATAAAAGCAAAGATATTTACGTAACTGAATAAAAAAACTGAAACATTCAGATTATTTAACACTTCAATTGTTTTCAAGAAATTATCTACATTTTTATTTCATCATTCAACAAATGGTAAAAAGGAATACATTTTGTGAGAGAATTCCAAAATGAAACACAAACATCTTGGCCATAGTGAAGTATGACCTTGTGCTGTACAATCCATTCTGCTGTAGCAGTGCACCGTTACATGAAGGAGCTGAGCCTAAGGGTTAGGCTGAGGCGTTCAGGGACCTCAGGCTGGTCTGGTCTCTTCTGCACCTCTTAAAATTCTCAATAGATTTTCTGTGGCGTCTGGGTCAGTTATAAACTCCAGTCTATGTAGCACAGTGATTCCATGGTCTTTAACGTAGATAATGGTGCTTATGGAAATGTGGCCAATTGCCTTGTTCTGCTGGAACCAAACCAGAATCTACATTAGTCTTTTGGGCTGAAAAAGCTAGAAAATGGATTCTGAGCAGGTTACATGAAATCAGCTTGAAATGGTCATAAGGCATCACTAGCTATATGAACTGATGATGTGGATAGCTTATGCTACAAGTTTGAAAACCAGCTTTTCCATATCTTATGCTCAAATAAAGCTCTCTACTTTGTGAACACCATACTCCCCATCTTTGCCTGGGTGTAAAATTACAGAGAAAAATGTAAATAGCCTTCTACTAGCTGATTTCTCTCTAATGCGTAAGAACCTTCACTGAGAAAATGGCCTTTACAATGACCCAGTCATCCTGAGCTGTGTAAGGTTGCATTGGGTTGGAAGGGCTACTGGCCTGTCATGATGACGTCTTTGGTAATGACGGTTCTGGTGCTGAAGCATCTGAAGTACATACCAGGCTCCATACTGGAGCCCCTGCAGTTTGCTTAGCAGGCAAGCGGATTAGCAGGTGATGCCTTTGGTTTGGGACTTCAACAACGTTATCCTCACACACATCCTCCACCTCCAGCCTTCCCCTATCATTACATCAACAGCTTTCTTCCCCCAACCAAGAACCATCAGCACAATGCAATGTAGTCTCTCCTTTTCCTCTGTCCCAGTATGCAACTGGCTGATTCCCAGCAGATGTGTCTGAAACCCCTGAAGTTTGCAGATGACACTACCTTCATTGGTCTGGAGCTTAAACCAATCTTACTTGTGAAAATGACATCAATTTGTACAGAAACTCAAGAGATAGAACCTTCCATGTCGTTTACTTCCCATTAACTTAAGAAAACGACAACATGTTGCAGCAATTTCTGCAAAGCCAGCTTCTTTACAAATGATATTATGAGGGTTGATGACAGTCTGTTGGACAATTTTCAACTCTGTTCCTCTGCCCACATTTCTGCAATAGATTTTTAATTTTTTTTGTTATTGATCTTTATGTCATATTCAAGTTTAATAGAAAAAAGTGGATTTCCTTACCATGCAAATGCATGGGACTCATTTTAGGAATTTAATCTGTTTAAAT